ATGTGAGTTCTATCTTCAAAAAGCATCATCAGGGTGGTATGCAGGACAGTTAGCCTTGGGGAGCCCAATCACCATCTCCAGCATGCGCAGTAGATGGCGAGAACAAAACTCCCTTTTCACAATCTTTCCTGTACTTAAAACTTCCCTTCCCAAATACCATGCCTCCCCCTCCCTGTTTCAATGGCAGACGAAAGCAAGTAGCGAAACAGAGGCTGACATAAATATTTAAAAATAGTAAAAATCAATATCAAATTATAAAGGACTCTGGTATTTAAATAACTTTAAAATAATCACTTTAAATAAAATGCAAGTTCAAATATTTATCAGCAACAAATATAGCTTTAAAAAAATGAAAGACAAAGAGAAAAAATGCATTTGAATGACCTTTTAAAATGCTGCCAGAGATGGTGCTATCCGTCCTTTCTTGAATGATCGAGTATGTGTCCTAGTATATGGCCTGCTAACCTTGCAGATTTATATAGTGGTTTGGCAAGTATTGCTTCCAAAGGATCAGTCAATCGCTTCCCTAACTACTCTCTGCCTACTTAGCTAATGAGCCTATCTAGGTTAGATGATAAATTAAGCCACCTAAAAGATCATATATTGGGCCTCCCTAACCAACATGCCCAGACTAAAGAAGCTAGGATAAGCAGGGAAGCATTTTGAACCAACAAGTAGTCCGGTTGTCTTGACTCAATTCTGACAACTCTATCTGGATGACTGAGAACCTTCGACACAGTAACTGTGAATTAACTAAGTTTTATTTAATAGCCCAGCAGATGGCAGCACCTAGCTGACCTTGACTAGGTTCTGAAAAATTAGTTAAGGTTTAACCTGGTTAGTGTTTCCGTTATGGCTACAAACTTCAGACAGTCATCAGATTAAAAGACAGCAAAGAGATATAGAAAACTCTCTTTACCCTCTGAAGCAACCAGATTTTGCAGCCCAGATTTGGTATTCTTATTTTGGAGTCCACCCCAAGGAAAAACAAGACTATGAAGTAGACTGGGAAATTGGGAGAAAACATTCCTATAAGCATATGAAGAAATCTAAAGGAAAAAACCCTTTTAATATAGTGACCTATTAAACCAACAGAAAACCCTGTACAGACAACCATACATCTGAAGGTGAAATAGGAAGAAGGTTACTGATTTAACCACAACTGCAGTGCTGTGGAAACTTTAACAGAGATTGAAGGAGAAGTAGTGGATGGATACTGAATTTCTCTTCTTTAACTTTTAAGTTGCCCAAGTCTTTTGATGACGGGTAAAAACTTTAAGAATGGTTTGTCACTGCATTATTTTAGACTACGGCCAAGAAAACTACAGAGGTGAGGACAGCCATGTTTAAGTTTATCAGCTGCTGGAGAGAGGGCTTAATTTCAGCAATGAATAAATTCCACACTTCAGGTTCTACCAAAGATTGCTCCAGCCATAGTATTATGGTATTTAGTAATGATATTGGCAGAGCAAAACTAATCTATTCCATAATCTATAACATTGGAATGGACAGACAAAACCTCATTTGTAAGGGAAGAAGGTCCCACAAAGCTGAGCTCTATATACCTTACTTCATAGAAAAGGAGTATATCCAAATGCTTCTTCCAGGCAGCCTGAATGGGTAATTTAGAAGAAAATGGTGCTGCAGGTACCTATGAAGTTTAGATCTCCCTTAGGCATGAAAGCCAACTAGATAACATTGGTCCAATCACCAGGAGACTGTGAGTTCTAGTCTCAGCCAATGAAAGCCAGCTGGGTGACTTTGGGCCAATCAGGAGACTGTGAGTTCTAGTCTCAGCCAATGAAAGCCAGCTGGGTGACTTTGGGCCAATCAGGAGACTGTGAGTTCTAGTCTCAGCCAATGAAAGCCA